GCCATTATGTTGATGTTCAAGTTTACCACTGGCAAGTGTATTCTCCATACTGGCGACTTTCGTGCAAGCTTTGAAATGGAGTCGTTGCCTATTTTCTGGAACGAGCCGCAAATTGATGTTCTTTACCTGGACACAACATATTTATCGAAAAATTATGACTTTTGCCATCAGTCCGACAGTATAGATAGAATTCGCACCGCTGTAAGGCAATTTCATGAGAAGAACGCCGATAAGCGTATATTGCACGTGTGCGGCTCATATTTAATTGGAAAAGAGAAGGTGTGGCTGGCTTTGGTCGAGGAGTTTAGTTTGCGTGTCTGGACTGAACCGCATCGCCGCAAAGCAATCGATTGTCTCAATTGGCCAGAGCTGCAGCTGAGCCTTTGTGATGATCCTCTCGAGGCTAATTTGCATGTTATCAATATGGGAAAGATTAGCTACCCGGTAAGTAATTCCGTTTCGGCCACATTRCAGCATTTCCAAAGAAGCCTTCTATTCACAGAGTCTAGATCAGTACTTTAAGACATTTGAAGGCCACTATGATATGCTGCTTGGCATACGACCTAGTGGTTGGGAAAAGAACTCCAAGCCTTCCTACGGCAAGCGTATCAGTGTAATTGGAGTAGAATATTCAGAGCATTCTAGCTACAAAGAGCTGGAACGATTTGTACGTTTCCTTAAGCCAAACAAGGTCATCAGCACCGTCCCTGTTGGAAAAGATCTCTGTGTTACCGGAACAGTTCCGACCAACTGGTACAAATACGAGGGATACGGAAGTATGCTTAGTACAAGCTACCAGCCCTCTATTACAACGTTTTTAGAGACATCCAAACGTAGTTTGCCGGCGTTGGCAAACACAAGCGGTGATATGAGCGTTAGCCCATTGGAGAATGAGAGCATCATGAATATGGCCAATAACGAAGATCTCCTTGAGGCGAAACAGGATACAGAGGATTCTACTAATGGGATTATTCCTGCTGGTGATCATCCGCTCGCTAAGCGAATTACGTCAGATGCTTCAAGTGACATACTTTCATTAATTTAGCTATTGGTAACAGTGATAGTTTATTGTTTTGTTATTGTTTATATTTGCATTGAAAGTGCAACGTATTTATTTTTCGATCATTCCACAATTTAAAAAA